GATAATCTGAAGGCAAATTGCGAAGACGATTAGAAGAGTCTTTCAAGGTACACAAGCGCAGTGAGTAAACGGGAAAGTCAGTGTGGTCAGTGTGAACACATGAGGAAACCTATGAAACAATGGGAAACACATGTTCCCATAGTCCCTTGGGGGGGACTACAGCAAGTGATACTTACATGCAATCATGTCTAATGGCATGAATCCAGTTTCAAGAGGGAATGGAAATCCCTGATGCACATGTATAGTAGGGCAGTGTGCAGATATGCAACGCTGGTGACCATAACAGCTTCTCTAATCTATTGTATTCATCACAATAGAATCCACAAAGGCCAACTGGGATGGATGTGTGACGCAAGAATGGCAGCTTTCCATGGTGTCACACCCCAGGCTAAACATTCGGCCCTCAGTGTATCAGCAGCCATCTTGTAAATGGAGCGCGTGATAGCTTGTCTTACACAATAAGACGTTGTGTGATAAGAAGCGGTTGCAACAGCATGCTTGCTTTGCATGTTAGGCAGACTAACATGCTTCCAACTCGGCAACAGTCAGGGGGCCAGGTTGCTACAAGAGAGCGTGCCAACCATCACCACATCCTCGGAAAATAAGTCCTATTGGTCAGATCTTTCATCGCTGCACTGTAAAAAGACTTAGACATAGCAGCGGAAAGAGGGAGACGGAGTTGTTTGTGACAGAAGTGCCACTTGTGGTATTTCGCTCTACCAGCAAATTACCCATAGCTCGCAGACAACACCAAAAAAACCAAATCTAAAAAGGCAAATTTTCCATTTCATATTTACTCTGCCAGTAAACCACTGCAGGAAGCGTTTGCTTTTCTGTCTGAAAATAATTGCTTTTTATGAACAACACATCACAGTCTATTGCTTCTCTTGCAGAAATGTGTGCGGATAATAGAAGGGAAGAACTTGGACTATCCATTCATAAATTCATTTCCAGCACTTAGCAGCGATAAATTAACCACGACACGCTCCATCTCCATATCCAGAGCTCATTAGTGTGAGCGCTTTGGCTGCAAATGAAGTCCACAGGTGCTGAGCTGGGCTTTTCCCCAGCATTAACCTACTTTTGAGTGCCACCTAAAGGTTGTGATGAGAAACTGAAACCCCAGTGGAGGATCCCATTAAAGGAAATTATAGATGGAAAAACTTATTAGGTTAGTTTTGTTAAAGTTCATATTCAAATCACTTCTTGGTACAAAAAATAGGTTATATGCAAAAACCTTATGCATTTAGGCTAAAGTCGTCCTGAGGCTGCGACAGAACAACTGTCGGTGAACCTTAAGAAAAGGGGCAGTAAAGTAAATATAGCCAATTGGGAACCTCGAGGTGAAGATAAGAGCAACCACACTGTGTCATAGCTGTCGGAAATGGCCTACATTTTGAGACCTTGTCGGTGACAACAACACTTCGAAGTAGGTCTGACTTACATAAAAGTTTTTAATTGTTTACCCAGAATGCCGAGGTGCAATGACAAAAGATTTAGCAACTCCTCATAAAGATTTTCATTCCAGTTCCTTAGTTTACCTTGGCCCAAAATCCGAGACTGAGAGCACGAAAGAGCACCGCTGTACGGACAACCAAAACCCGAACCCATAGCCACAAAGACACACGATGATTCAGAGAAAGGCCATGGCTTTGGGTGGATGAACCGTCCACATCCCCAGGCACTGGAATATCTCTGATCCCAGCCACATAGCGTGATCCCAAGGGCACTGAAAGACGTCTGAAGCAGCGCCACAGATGACTCCAAGCCCCCAACCACACCGTACCGTACTCTGTAATGCAGAGCAGAATGAAACTCTCCAAGTGTGATGTCAGTCCTTCCAAGGCCTTCAACCAGAGCAGTGTGGTGACCCTGCTCGGTACAGTATGTCTCTCCCTTCCTCTCTTCTTTGCTACTCTACTCGATACTGTACCGACTGTGCCGCGAAAAATATCACAATCCCTGAATATAGAATTTAAAATCAGTGGGATCAAAAAGAGAATTATCGCAACAATTTTCTTGCTGCTGTCTGCTTTAGAAGAAATGAGGGATTTTCCGAAGACCATTACTCAGTGTCTCAAAGTGTAAACACATCTGGCTCCGAAATCTCAGCTGGAGCATCGCCTCACGTACATCTGTTTGCTACAAATCAGCCTTTACAAAACAACTTGACAAGGAGACAGTCGAAGCTCAAGGGTCCTCATCGCCGCCACACACTGTGGAACATCCATGTAGTTTTTAGTCCAGGAAGAGGGAAACTGCAGCAGACCTGCCTGCCTGTGGCCTGGGAGAGTTTTTACACCTGCTTGGCTGCTGTGCAATGGAGCAGACGCAATTTTTATGGGACATTATAAGACCGTTCCCCCTGTATATTCAACCCAATTGTTACAAGACAGGGTCCAAGCTCATCCGTGCCATTTATTAGACTATATCCATCCAGATGGACAGCATAAAACCTGTTGCAGCATGTTGGAAGTTCAATAAGTATAATATTGACTTTTCCAAAAGCAGCTGATTAAACATGAGTTTCCTGGTTTATAGTGGGGGGAAAAAAGTGGAAATGCAATTCATTTAATTTGAATGAATTCATAAACGGCCCTTTATTGCCCTCATCTGACAGTCATTGGTATTACAACTGCACAACAATTTACTGCACACTATATCTATTACCAGCGCAGTGTATGTTCAAAGCGTGCCTGTTCAGAACAGGCTGAATGCTTGGCCTGTGTTGTTGCTGCTTGCATCTCATACAAACAATTTCACACTCTACACTGCGCTTCTATTGGGACTTTACTGATACGATTACTGATACGATAGGATATATTGTCATGTTTACTACAGCTCGGTATTGCATGTTACATATGTTCATCTCATGTGTTGTATTTCAGCATGCTACAGACCTGTTGAGTGGTCAGAAACATGACTCCAAATGAATGTTATATTGCTCTGTGTCTGAAGGTGTAAAGAGGCCATGGAGGCCAAAGCAAATGTATAAACCAGTGTTATCTGGTAACCTTGTTCTGATGTTTTCTGCCCTCTAGTAGCCTACACATTGTATTTGAACACAGACTGAGCACTCTGCATTCTAATCTGTTATACTACTAACATTATCAAACTAAACAAAACATTAGATCATGTTAACATGTGCTTGATGTGGGAATAGATTTATAGATTTAATTATTGTGTACCGCCTGTACAGTGTCATAGAAATATAAATGCTATGTCATAAAAAAAATGCTCATGTTTCCTTTTCCGTCTTGTCCAGGACTGTGAACTTGTGTTATAAAACTGATCAAATGGGAGATCACGGCCCAAAGGTGTCAATCAAGTGGTCTCGGTCCCCCCGAGACTTCCTGTATTTTTCACACTGGTTACAGAGATGGGGTTTTCCTTGGCTGGTAACTGCATGTGTTTATACAGATGTTAAACAAAATACTACAATATTTACATGTTTCCATCGAATACATTAACTGCATCAGGATTAATGTGCTTTTCCGAGGGTAACTTCACTTTTTACGTGATTACTTTCCTCACTCAATCAAAACACAATATTCTAGATTTACATATTTTTTATTGACATAAAATGATTTAGATATCAGATCATAAAGTGCAACAACGTGAGACTAAGCCATTAAAACAGCAACTGGTGGATGTTATTACTTTGCACTGTCAAGCTAACTGAACTAACAAGTAACTTTACACAGCTGGTTTATAGAATGAGGTGTGCTCATTCAATAAACCAGCTGTGTAAAGTTACTGCACAGAGAAAGGATCAGGACACAACCTCACAAACACAGGCTCCTAGATGTGATGCAAGAAGAAGAAATGTCCCAACATTATGTTAAATAGTTCTGATAAACTCCACCTCAACCAGCTACAACATTCAAATGATGCTTACACATTTACAAACATATTTAGTATCATGATAAACGATGCATGATATAACAATAGCGCGATATTAGACCATTTTTGCAACAGATATTTGGACTTTTCATGGTGAAGAACTAAAAGGTGTTAATTATTTAAAAAAAATGAATTGTTACATAATTTAAGGATCTAAATACTTCCACCAAAGCTGGAAGCAGCCTTTAAGGTGATTAAACATGTGTTGCATATATGGACTTAAACTGTTTCCTGCTTGTTTTTCTTCGGTACCACAGGGCTTATAGTTGGATTTTTGCTTCCTGTTCATCCGGTTCAGCTTGTTTGTAGCCTGTATTCAGAATACTCCAAGTAACTGTCCTGCATGATGCCTACATGTCAGTGTACAATATGTAGTGTACAGTATAGTACAAAACCAGAGTGCAGTCGGCTCATCCACTCATTGCCGTGGATCCTTTATGTGATTTCATTTCAGGCAAAAATCTGTTTCTCTTTGACCACCAAGGTCAACACGAGCTCTATCCACATGACGGCATGCTGTGTTCTTATACTGGGAGAACTTAATCTCTATAGGCTTTATGCTGAAATTTGTTCCGGTACTTCCTGATGTGTTACTAACAAAGATAAAACTCACGGAAGATGTGCAACATGTTTTACTCAATAAACAGAGCAAATGAAAGTCTTACATGTCACCTGTGTGTTTAATTGAGAAAAGAATGAAACAATGTCACATAAAATGTTACTGCGCTCTCACAAAGAATGTGTTATCAGAACAAGCTTGTGTCCAAATCTCTATAAAAGAAACAAAGTTTTGTGTTGTTTTCCATTTTTAACACGTGAATTCTGACACTGAGAAGAAAAGAAAGGACTTCCTGGTAAATGGTTGCTGCGGTTACCACCGATGACTTCGTTGAAGCCCCTCCCCCCCCCCACCCCCACCCGGGTTTACCTCGTCGGCGCTCCATCAAATTCCTGCACTCCGCAGGTTGCCTTGTAAACAGCGAGGGCAACTAAGCGCGGATGAGGTTGACACAAACCAAGTCAATGAATTCCTCCGACTTGAATTTGACTTTTCACCCACCGGTACGTAAAGTTCACTTTTTGTTCCCCAACAGCCGCTCACGAGCCTTCAGTAGCACTAAACCGGACTAAAGGTTACGACTGTTGTTAACCATTAAGTTATCAAATGCTAATGTTAAAGGAAGGTCCTTCTTAGCTTAGTTTATCTAAAATGTTTACTTACTACAGTTTCAATGAGGCTTTATCTGTCACAGGAAGTTTCACAGTAAAAGAAAGTGTCAATACAGGGAAGGAAGTGGACGTTTTATCTTATTACACGTGTTACGTGAAACTGGTGCTACTCCCTTCTACTGCATCATGTTTACATATTGCACGCGGTTGTTGGCACGTTTTTTTTTAATGACACTTCTGATGCAACAATTAAGAAGTACTTGACAGGTGTAAGAAATTCAGTCTCGCAAAACGCCCCCGGTAGCTGCAGATGACGCTGGTGTGATTGCTGTTACAAGTGGAAATGGTCGTGAACTCTCTCCAGGAAGTAGGCGACTCGAAATTCGTCACTTGAAATTCCTGCAGCATGTCGGACAAATATTTGGATACTCCTCAGTAGCCTACATTTAAAAAAAAAAAAAAAAAAAAAAAAAGCCATCCCTGACCAGATTTGTTGAACCGTGCTGGATAATTTACTTCACAATATGTTATTGCTCTGAAAACCGGGAAAATGGCACGAACACAAATCATGAGGTAGGTTCAAGGGACAGGTGTCACAGCAGCTTCATCTCATTTAAAACAAAAAGACAAGGTGAGAACCGAGCAGCATGCAACACTGTGCTTCTCTCTCAATCTAATCTCATTTATATTTATATATGCATCTATATTTTTAGATATATTGACCAGCCTTATTTTTAGACGGTTGACATTGATTGTGGGCTTTTTAAATCATACCATTAATGTTAATGGCGACGTAAAGGACTTTTTTTTAAAGTCCTTTACGTGTGTTTTGCAGAGACCCGTTGAGGTCACGACTATAGACCACAAACTGTCTCTGAGCACCATGTCAGTGTCTGCTTAACATGCAGCCGATGAGCACTGTGTCACCTTTGACGAGAGACACTCGTGTCTGTTGAAGACACTGAATCTATCCTGTAGAATAGTCACATATTGACAACCATCTGTCAGCCTGAGCATTAATATTAAACTGATGGACTTTTCCGTCGATGTTTCTGCTTTTTAGTTCATTTGTGTTTCATTAAACAGAGTCTTAGTTTCTGGCTGGACTTGTTTTGCTGTTGCTCAGATAGCTGACAGCTGTTCCATGTCAAACCCTAAAACAAGATAAGACAACTGTATGCAAAGCAGGAAGCTCCATCATTTAAACGTAGGGCCTTTGGAAAACGACAAATACTGTAGCCACCGGCCTCAACGCACTTACACAGTTTGAACAAAGGAGCAATAAACCTACTCTGTAAAGATAAGACAATATTATGCATTATCATGTGCCAAAAACACTACATCACTCTTTCCAAACAGCAGTTCACCGAACTTCCCTTTCTTATTTCCTCTCTCACGCTGAAGCTGTGCCGGTTGCTCGTTGTGGGTTGATGGCTTTCCTCGTGAGGGCTGTTACGCCTGCAAAGATGTTGCATAATGCTTTGGCTCAAACTTGCAAGCATGCCGTATTCATTAATAGCAAGTAGATTATAGAAATGTTGAGACGAAAACAATGTTTGTACACTCATCTCCAAGTATCTCTCTGAAAACCAAATGTTTTCTACACAAATATATTTTTGAATGGTTATTTTATTATCGGGGGGGTCCTGTATATATTCATATAAATGGTAGATACGAAAAATGGAATAAATCTCAGATTCATGCTTCAGTGAACATTATGAGCAGAAGATAGAGATTATGTGTGTGCCAGTGCTATAGTTATACGGTTTGTGTGTGTATTATGTCTCTGACCCTGCATTCCCCTCCGTTCTACCTGCCTATGTCTGTTTTACTTATACCAGTCCCACATGTCTACACACACACACACACACACACACAGTCATTAATCGACTGGGCCGACTCATAGTGCACAACAGCCTCCGGGAAGGCAGTCTTCCAGACCAGTGCACAGAGAACGGTAGTCCCCACCAAACCAAACCACTAACTTGAGTTATCAGTCAATATTTCCGGGCAGACGAGACCCTCCTCGTCACAACCACAACTTTCTTCTCAGTTTTTTGGGCTTTACTTGTCAGATGACATTAGTCTCAGCCAGGGCCATCGTCCCTGAAGTGAAGGAGAAGAGCAGCAGTTGTTTTTCGGTGTACAGAGCCCTGTGAGTGGCCACGTGTTTGACAATGCAAATATAAATCGCACTGATAATGTGTGTGTGAGAGATGGCAAAAAGAGCACAAAGAGTATTGCATAAAGACACTCACTGGCCGTTTTTTATGTGAATGAATAATTAACAGTGTAGCTAATTAAAAAACTAAATCAAGGTGCTCCTCTTAGAAACAAATGTAGTAATCGGATCTCTCGAGTCTTGTTCCTTTTAATGCAGCTGTTATTTATATCCTAGAAACGAGGATGATGCATCTACCTCTTATAGACTTTACATTTTGTTCAAGAACACGTTTTTGATGCAGCACATACATTCTTTTAAAATCTATTTCTATCGGGCAAGGAGCCGTACTTATTCAAACTGAAGACTCTCCTTCTGTCTCTCTGCTATAGGCTTCATCGGCTAATTAAAGAGGCGGTTGCTAAGGGATGACAATCTGTGACATTGGTGAGAGTCTCTGATGTGGAGCAGCCTGAAGCTCGACTTCTCCAGGTTCTCTGTCCTCCACGCGTCTTGTCTGTTCTCGGCTCATGCGAAGGACGCGGAAAAAAGGGACTCTCAAACACCATGGCAGCTTTTACTGCTCCTTGCGCCACCACCACCACCACCACGACACAGACAGCGCGGCGAAGGCGAGGAGGCAGCGAGAACGGGGATGTGGGACAGAACACTATCGTGGAGAAAACCCGGGAGTTCTTCCAGATGTGTGACATCGAGAGCAAGGGCTTCATCACCCAACGGGACATGCAGGTGAGGTTGCTGACACAAGTGGGACTGCCGTGACTGAGCTTTAATAAATCTTTGTTTGCATGAAAGTAATTCAAACTTCAACGGTGTAACGTTTGCTTGGATGACATTTAGGGTCTTACGGACAGAAACACATTGTTACAAACTTTAAATTACTTGTGGGGGGGGGGGGGCTAAACGACAAAGTATCAGCGCAGTTTTAGGACCAATTTTCTTTGCATCCACATTGGGCATTTTTAGAGATAACAACCTCTTATTCATCCAGAAGGAGCGTGACGCGCAGGGATGGTGTGTGCACTCATTAATGATGCTGAACAGGACATGTGTACCTCATTCAAAAGAGGCTGAGACACAGAGAGCCACGCGGAAAGCTTTGTCATGCAACTACTCCACTCACATTATTGTGCAGATTTCACTCGCCCCTCTGATATTCATCCCCGCCACGGCTGATGCTTTGATGAAGCACTTGTAGGCGGCATAAATACAGAGAGGGGAAGCTTTGATCTGGTGTTTATGATAATGGATTTGGGAATTAGACAGCGGTCCGGTCCTCCTCCTCTTCTATTTATATGACCGTCTGTACTGAAGAGTACAATATGTACTTAAAAGCAGCGCTTGTTACTGTTATGATTTCACAAGCTGAATGAGTGGCACTGCTTAAGGTTGTGTGCACTCGACACAGCGTTTATTTATTTTTTTAGTCTCTAGATTTTCCCAGTTTAAATGTACGTTTCACACTGCGACCACCAGCACGCTAGCTTTTACAATTTTACTGTTTGCTGACATCAGGGATATGTTCTGCCCCGATAACACACTTTACAGGAACAGCTGATACTGTGGATCCCTCCCCTGGATTGTATGGGATGCCTCGGTCAACATTTCGCAGCAGTGTAAACACGGCGTAAAAGCTGCTTACAGAGGTGTGGCTGTGTTGCCTTTTCTTGTTAATGATCCAGCGGATACTGTCATGGTCAGAAGGGAGGTTTACAGAGCATCTGTCTCTCCTTCCCTCTCAACTAGCATCTCTACTTAAAGTCTTCTGTTGAAAGACTTTTGCCAGTCTCACTTGAGCCAACATCTGCTCCTGTGGAGCTGCACAGTGGTCAATCATTATTAAGGCTGTAGCTGCACTGGGAAAATCCCAGGTGTCGAGGTGTTTGACTGTGTGTTGCTGAAGATGATGTCCATTAAACATGTTCTGGTTAGAATAACAATGAGGAAGAGGCTATTTGGAATATAACTGGCACCCTGTGTTATTTCGGCTACTTAAGTCTAATTATGAAAATAACGGGGGAAAGAACCGCCAACTGTTCCGTTGCACATGATAGCCGCTGGGCTGATGACGGTCCTTATAAGTCTCAAGCAGTAGTTGTTATAGCTGCAGTATCGTTAAGGTCCTCGAGGCTTTGTTCTTTCCAATAGCAGCTGTGTTTTGTGTCTTTTTAAATAGAGGCTGAGTGCCGAGCTCCCTCTCAGCGCGGAGGAGTTGGAAAACGTGTTTGTTACCCTCGATTCCGACGGCAATGGATACCTGACGCTGGACGAGTTCTCCTCCGGCTTCAGTAAGTCTACTTAAAAACACCGCCGCTATCACCGGCAGGTGTCGTCCGATGTTTCGATCGTGCGCTGAAGGTCTTGATTGTTTCTAGGTGAGTTCTTATTCGGTCGGAAGATTTCTGTAGCGGAAGGCATGGGGGAGAAGAACGCCTGTAAGAGCCCAGCAGAGGTCCTGTACCAGAGCCGGTGGGAGGAGAGCATGGCCAGAGGAGATGAGGAGGAGGAGGAAGAGGAGAAACACTTCTGCATGCTTATGGAGAGCCTGGGAGCCAACAGTGTCTTTGAAGAGTGAGTACCGCATGCACGTGGTGTTAGCTCCACGTCATATCTCTTTGCACACTTTGTTGACGTCTGATTTGAGGCTACACCTTATTTTAGGTGACCTAGCCTGAGACCGTAATCAGCTGTGCAAACTAAACAAGAGTTGTAAGTTTCCACTTACAACTGCTCGAGTATTCACATGTGTTTGATAGTATCGTGTTTGAAACGTAGACATTGTGTATTAAATCATCCGGATTTGTGAGGAAGCTTCACACTCAAAAAGCCTTCGCAATCTTAATCTGAACCATTAATGTCAACTCTCTCTGCATTAGTATTTCATACAGTATTCAATGGGCATTAGTAACTCTGGTTGAGGTCTGTTTAGACATTGATGTAGTGGATAATGACAGGATCTTGTGAAACGCATGCCTAGACTCACCTTTAACAAACAACCACGACTCAAAATAAACAGTGGTGGAGGTGGATGCCAGATTTACACATCCTATTGGCTTCCGCCTCCTACCCGGTTAGCTCCAGCTGACATTTTAGATGTTCAGATCAGTTTGTGCAGCACTAACTGATATCGATGTCGACAAGACTTTTAGGTACTTGTAACTGTTGAAAAGTCTTCCAGGGATTTGTTTGACTTGCCCTACCTTATCATAGCTTACTGTACTGGCACAGTATGCAGCAGACGAGCAGTTATGACTGAAGTGTCAGATTTGTTTTGCTGCAATAACAAACGGATGTTTCAAGACAAAGAACGTCATGTTCTTTTAGAAACCACGAGGGACTGGTACCTGAGCTGCTGCCTCTATGTACGTTTATGTGTTGGACTGTTGCTGTGCTTGAATCCTGCTTCTGCATTCTGTCCTCTCAGTCGCGCTGAAGTGCGCAGTTTGTGGGCCCAGCTGAGCCGAGATGAACCCCACCTTTTATCCAATTTTGAGGACTTCCTGGCCAGAGTGACATCCCAGATCATAGAGGCCAACCAGGAGAAGAGGGACATGGAGAGCGCTCTCAAGAGGTCAGGGTCATTCAAAACTACGGTTAGACTTCAAGTGTGTCGTTCTAGGCGGAGGTACACGCTGTACGGCACATTATCGCATCTGAATTGTATCCATACAGGAAAGCAGCAACACACGACGATGAGATCCAGCGCCTTTATGAGGAAATGGAGCAACAAATAAAAACTGAAAAAGACAGGATTGTGCTGCAGGTACAAACCTACCTTGTTGCTAAATATATCAAATACCGTACATCTGCCTCTTCTTCATCACACTTGCACTCTGTCCTTTATCCCTGCACTTAAGGACTATGAGCGCTTTCTGTCTCGCAGTCAGGACATGGAGCTGCAGCTGTCTGGTAAGGAGAAAGAGCTGGAGCAGCTCTTTCAGAAACAGAGACGGGTGAGTACGAGAGAGGATTACTCAGAGAGTGCAGAGAGTATTCGCTCTCCATGAGAAACTCTTTACACACACACACAGTTATCCCATAGGGAAATTCAGCTGTCAGAGCAGCCACACACGTGAAACGCATTAAACAAGACGACAGATAATAGAATGCTGTCAATCAGCTAATGAAGCGATTTAGTTACGTCATAGATCTCTACAGTAACCTACATATACAGTTTCTCATGTTCAAACAACGAACAATAAAAACTATACATTTTGTCGAGTACTTAACATTCACGAGTAGGTTTATTTCTCAGACTCTGATCCTGCTTGTTAGGCGGTGCCGTCTTTACTTGATGTGTAGAAACGGGATGGTGTGGACTGAGACTGATGACATATTTAATCGTCACTAATGTTGCTGCTGTTAAAGGTGGAGTTAAGGGACTACTTTATATACTGGCGGGTAGCTTGATCCGTGATAAAACATTACAATTTATTAGTTGATTTATATTTTTTTATATTAATCTAAATAGTCAAAAATGTCTAGTAACTAGTGTTGCCAGAGAAATGTAGTAGAGTGAAAATACAATATTTGCCTCTCAGATGTAGTAAAAGTATAGAGTAGCAGAAAATTAAAGTACTCAAATAAAGATGCACATAAGTACAGTACTTTCCACCTCTCGGTAAGGACGTCAAAACATGTTTTCCTGCAGCAGCTTGTGTTGATGGATACTGTTCGATGTTAAGAGGTTCTGCCACAACTCTGTTTACAGACGTGCACTCCGGCTTTTAAGGCTAATTAGTTAACTTAAATTAACTCTGGTCACACCAACAAGGACTTTTCTTCTTCTCGCAGCACCTAACACCTCTAATTAATAAGTCAGCTGTTTACCAAGTGTTTGTGGAGAGCAGTTGTCCACACAGTGGCGGCGTACAGGCTGGTACAGCTTCAAAAGCATTTAGTACGGTTCTGCTCACGATTGTACCTGTTGATGGAATTCATCACAATATTTAAAGGCAGTCAGCTGTTTGAAGGTATTATGTCTTCACATCCTGCCGTCTCCGTACGTTCACCTTATGACTGTGCGTTAAAGAGGTCACTGTACATTTAACAGCCATGCATCTCTAGAGCTGAGAGCACAATGGTTGGAGTCGATTGTGTGAGTGTGTACCACTAGGGGTCGCTAATGTCAGACTTTTTTGATCTTCCTTCACATAGTGCTACGGATTGTATGTGTGTGGGTGTGATCAGAGAGGATTGAATAGTATTAAGTTAAAGGTCAGTACTGCGACAAGTAACGGACGCGATCCTTTTTGCCTCCAGTCGGAGCTTGAGTGCCAGGAGCTTCAAAGTGAGCAACATGTGACCAAGGTGGAGAACGTGAAGCTGAAGCACAAGAATGATGAGTTGGCACGGGAGCTGGACCACACCAGCCAAGAGCTGGTCTTGGCGCAGGTCCAGCTGAATGTGCTGCAGGAGCAGTCCACGCGGCTTCATGAGGACAAGGAGATGTGAGTTGCACTTTTCCTTCTAACTCGAGCTTCATTATAACTCCTGCACTGATTGGTTGGCCTCTCGGGTTCTTATTGCTTGCTGATTGGTCAGGATGCGATCACATGTTTTTGCTACGAACCAAAGTGATAAATACTTTATACACAATTTATCCTGTCAATGAAAGATGATTAAGATCATATACATGGTAATGCTGACAGTGCTCTAACCTACAATTATTTTTATATACTGCGCAGCTACATTACATTATAAAAGACAATATCTTACTGTTTGTTTCAAATGCTGTGATACTGTATCTTGATGAGAATATGCTCCGGTTCATATTTCCTCACTAGTTTTGAATAAAGTGTTTTAAGTGCATACTCTGGCTGGTCACAGAGTGTTTGTAATAAAACATGCTTTGTTGTTCAACACAGTGAAATATACAGACTGACTGAGGGACTGCAGCGAGAGCGAGCGGGCCTCCTCAAACAACTGGGCCTCTTGAGGTTTGGATCCAGATGTGCAGCTGTACTGGCCCCACTTAAGACGAAACAAAACGCAGTACAGAGACATGACACGGATATTTATCTTGTGATTTGAAACTACTGGTCCAGGGATTCAAGCTACCGCCTGCTAATCTTTACTTAACTGACATATCGTGTTTAGCCAAGGAAATGCCTTTTCCTACATACCTGGGGAGAGCAGGATGCTCCAGAGCCACCATGGCTACTTTATTGTTCACCAGAAAACAGCCTATCAAACAAGGCCAGGCATTCAAATTGATAAAGACCAGTTAAACAGTTCCAAAAATTGTGTAAAAGTTAAATTTAATGAAAAGCTTCGCCCTCTCTCTTTAATATCCGTATTTCTTTGTTCTCTCCAGGGAAATGAACAAACATTTACGGGATGAAAAAGACATATGCTTCCAGGTATGTGCCGTTTATTATAGCGGAATAATACACTGTATTACTTAAAGTTCCGCTGTCCGCACTTCATATGCCCTCTTTTTAAAGACTATAGGAATAACAGAAAGATGCAAGTGTTAACAAGAGCCCAGAATAGCCATCCCACAAATGTGATTGAATCCTGAATCTCATGCTGGAGTTAAAGTCAAAACTTTTATTTCTGCAGAATCCAAAGAATTCTACGAAAACACCAAGTTTGAAGCAGAGGCCTTCCATCAATGTTGAGAAACACACAAAAACAAATGCCTTCAAAAGGTAAAGCATCAGCCACAGTTTGTACAGTGCATGTTCTGCTGTCATCATACAGTGTTGTTTCAATTAGCACTGTTGTCGTGTGTCCCATAATGTCACTTTCCGTCTGCAGTGAGGAAGAGGAGGAGCTCACCGCCGGCTCTGTGAGGCACAACCTCACCTATGGGTCGTGCCAGTCCTCTTACACAGCGAACGCAAGAGGGCACCTCCAGAGGATCATCTCCATCGAGGAGGACCACCTCCCACACCTGCTCCACAATGATGGTCAGCCCCCAACCCGGCTTCAGGAGTATAATGAGGAAGAGGAAGCCTCAGACAGTGAGGAGCATATAGACTTGGTGATGAGCGTTATTTACCCTAGCGCATTCACTGCCCAGCAGCAAGAGTCGAAGGAAGACATGGAGAAAAGTGCAACCCCCTCATCTCCGAGGGGTCAGCCCGTTGGCAAGGAGACCAGCCTGAATGTAAGCAAGAATGAAATCACTGTAAAAGTTAACACGAGTTATTTTAATGGCAAAAGGCTCGCTTATTCCAAGCTAGGTGGTCGATATATAGGGAGGAGACGTGTTCAATTTCATTTTCAAAAAGTATCATTATGTACAGTATGGCCCTGCTGTAGCCTCCCTCACACAAAGAGGAGTCAGCCGCGTAACTAACTGCTTAAAGCGAGAACCCATCGCCTTCGTCATGCGTCCTGTTTCTTCAGGAGGAAGGTGGTCCCTCTACGCCCGACCGCCTCTTCAAGATCGTCCTGGTGGGGAACTCCAGCGTAGGGAAGACGTCCCTCCTTCGGCGATTTTGCGACGACTGCTTCCACCCTGGCACCTCTGCCACTGTGGGTACGTAATGTATAGTGTTGATTCTTGCCAGCAAATGCAACAGAACACTCAGCCCCGTTGACTTCAGGCTCTGTATGTGATTGCTTACAAAGCACTTGGATGTGGCACTGGAGAAAACATTTTGTTCTCAGTTAGACTGAGTACAGCAGTGTCAGCAGTGAAAGCACAGGCTATAGGACTGTACATAGCCTTGTGCTGTGGCTAATCATTGTGCTAAACATTCTGATAAATCTGTCTATGATATACTGTCCTGTGCAGGGTCTCGGGGGGGGGGGG